CCTGCCTCTCTCCCGCCCCGTCCCCTCCGCCCGCGCGTCTCGGATCTGTTCGCCCCCACCGCGCTCCCGCTTGCCGGTGCGTGCATGCGCCATGCCCCCGCCGGCCCCGCGAGCCAGCGACTTAATCGCGCCGCCAGCCGGCCGGCGTCCTCTGCCTCCTCATATCTCCCCCTCCTCTCACACCGGTTCCTCGCCCCTGCCTCCTGACCCCCCCCCCTCCCCGCCTCTTGGCTCCTGGCCATCGCCGGTGGTACAGTCCCTGCCCGTTCGCGCATGAGCGGCGCCTCCGGACCTCCCCCCTCCGACTGATTGATCTCGCGCGCGCGCGCGCTCATCTGCATCGCCTCGCCTTCCGCCCTTCCCTCTCTCCCTCGCCATGCCCCCGAAGCCCCCGCCCCCGCCTCCGCCCCCTGGCGGTGGTGCCGGCCCGGCTGGCCTTGCCCTGCCCTCTCTGTCCATGGTGTCCAATGTCCCGGCGACGACCTCCTCCTCGTCCACCCCCCCGGCCACATCGCCCACCGTGACCGCCGAGGAGTCCGGCCCGTCCTTCATGGACCGCTTCCGCACCCTCTTTAAGTGTGCGTCTGCTGCCGGCATGCGCTCGCGCCGTCGTCGGTCTCTCTTGCCTCGGCTTTCCGCTGGCCAGTTGCTCACCTCCGCCTCTTCCCCCTCCGCCCCTGGCCGGTGCTCGCCCCCCCCCCCTCCCCCCCCCGACAGCCAATGATCGCCCGTCGAACAGCGGCAATGACTCGCGCCTGTCGCCCGGTGTGGCGGCCCTGGCCAGTCACAACCACACCGGCGGCGCGCACCCGCTCATCTCGGCGCCCATGTCCTTCCGGCATGAGGTGCATGTTGGCTACAATGCCGAGACCGGCGAGTTCAGCGGGCTTCCTTCCGAGTGGACCATGCTCCTGGAGGGCTCCGGCATCAGTAAGGAGGAGCAGCGTGAGAACCCGGATGTGCGTCTTCCCCCCTCCCCCCTCTCTCTCTCTCTCTCTCTTGTTCTCCCTTCTCTGTATGCTCTCTCCAACTCACTCCTCGTTTTCCCTTCTTTTCACTTTCTCTTTCTTTTCTCCTTCCCTCCTTTTCCTCTTCCTCCCTCTCCCTCCCCCCTCCCACTCCTCAGGCCGTCATCCAAGCCCTCAAGTTCTACGCCGGGTCCTCCGGGTCCGAGGACAAGTCCACGCCAGCTGGCTCGCCACAACTGCCCAAGGGCGCTCCACCGACGCCGCCCACACGGCTCCCCCCGACGCCGCCCGGGCGCGGGCCCCCCTCGGGCACCGCTGGCCAGCAGCAGGCACCGGTCATGGCTTCCGGCCATGCATTCACTCCGCCGCCGCCGCCGACCACCGCCCCGCCGGTCCCCCCTCCCAAAAACCCCAAGGCCAGCCCCACCTCGCCGACTACCCCCTCCTCGCCGTCGGATTCGCAAGACAACTTCGACGCGGTGGCCGCGGTACCCCGTCGCCGGCGGGAGACCTCCTCCCCGACCGCCGGCGGCCCATCCAGCCCGGCTGGACTAGAGGACGACATCATGACCCGGCTCCGGGCCATTTGCACGCCCGGCGACCCGAACGACTTCTACAAGGACTTCCGAAAGATCGGTCAGGGGTGCGTCGCTGTCTTTGGCTTTTGCATTGCCCCGCCCGGCCTGGCGGGGCCAGTGTGCCCTGTTTGCGCATTCACTTGGCCGCCGCTCCCTCGGCTTGCTTCTGCCTGCTTTCCATTGCTGACACCCACACTTGGCATCCCTTCCTGCGGTCTGTCTCCCTCTCCCTCTCGTCCTCTCGCTCTCTCTCGTCCTCCCTCGTCCTCTCGTCCTCTCGCCTTCTCTCGTTCTCTCTCGTTCTCTCTCGTCCTCTCGCCCTCCCTCGTCCTCCCTCGTCCTCTCGTCCTCTCTCGTCCTCTCGCTCCCCCTCGCCCTCTCTCGTCCTCTCTCGTCCTCCCTCGTCCTCTCTCGTCCTCTCGTCCTCTCGTCCTCTCGCCCTCTCACCCTCTCCCAATAGTGCCTCCGGGGGTGTCTTCTCCGCGCAGGAGCTCTCCACCGGTCGCCGGGTGGCCATCAAGCAGATGAAGCTCGAGCAGCAGCCCAAGAAGGAGCTCATCGTCAGCGAGATCGCGGTCATGCGCAACGCCCAGCAGGAGAACATCGTCAACTACATCAATGCCTTCCTGGTCAATGACGATGCCGACCTGTGGGTGGTCATGGAGTACATGGAGGGTGGTTCGCTGACCGATGTGGTCACCACCACCATCATGACCGAGCGTCAGATCGCCACCGTCTGCCGGGAGGTCCTGCGCGGCCTGGCCCACCTGCACTCTCGCAATGTCATCCACCGTGACATCAAGAGTGACAATGTCCTCCTCGGCATGGAGGGCGACATCAAGATCACGGATTTCGGCTTCTGTGCTCAGCTCTCCGAGGAGAGCACCAAGCGGACAACCATGGTCGGCACGCCGTACTGGATGGCCCCGGAGGTGGTCACCCGGAAAGACTACGGCCCCAAGGTGCGTGCATGTGTCCCTGTCTTCTTCCGCCCTGCATGCGGGCTGCCTTCCCCCTGGTGCTTTGTCCTCCTGCTGTGCTCTTTCCACTCACGCTTCTCCGTCTGCCTGTCTCTGTCTTTGCCAACCGCCAATCCTTGCCTGTCTTTCTCCTTCTCTCCCCTCTCCCTCCCGCCGCTCCCTGCCCCCCCTCCCTCCCTCACGGCACAGGTCGACATCTGGTCCCTCGGTATCATGGCCATCGAGATGATCGAGGGAGAACCCCCCTACCTCAATGAGAATGTCCTGCGCGCCCTGTATCTGATCGCCACCCAGGGCACTCCTACCATCCAGAACCCGGAGCGTCTGTCGCCGGTCTTCCGGGACTTCCTCTTCAACTGCTGCTTGGCGGTGGACCCGGAGAAGCGCCCGAGCGCCGAGGAACTGCTCCAGGTGCGTTTCGCGCCTCCCCCCCCCCCCCCCCC